GAAACCCAACACCAGCCATTCATTCTTTCAGTAAGAAAATTACGTGGTCAGATGTCGCGCATTCCCGCGGAGAAATTGACGTGAAGTTGTAAGTGCTCCGCTACTCATGTCCCGCATTATAGTGCCTCATTCGAACGAATTCCGCCGTTTCATCTTCTACAACTATGAAAACCAGTTTACGTGGTTGATCTAATATAGAACGCCGCCTCGCATAGCCTCGTTTCGCTCTCGTTGATGCTCGAATTGTTGGAGGCACTTTGCTATCTGACGTTTCCGTCTATAGAGGCGAGCTTCTTCCGCTCCTGGATCCGGGGTCCCGTAACACGTCTTGCTGCTCTATTATAGCGATTAAGAGGGAAAGCCTAGCGAGACTTGACGAACCCGTCTGTCGCCGTTTCTCGACTGCTTAGGGGCGAGGGCGAGGGCGTCATCGGGCAGCAGCGAACATGGGCGGGCGATTCCGGCTGATGGACCGGCTCGCGTAGCGATTTTTGTTTCATTGTTGTTCCCCAAATGCCTTATCCGAGTCATCCTCTGATCAGCATTTTTCAGCACCTTCTTCTCTCGAGCCATTCGCATCCTTGCACATCCAAAGGACCGCTTTTTGCGCCTTTCAAATGGAAATTTGCTCAAAACAGGTTTTCGAAAGAACGCTGACCTGCTTTGCTTCTCATAATTTTTCGCCCTGTAGATTCCTCAAATACTTTTGTTTTGTAAGAATTAATAAAGTCATCCATAACCCTAACCACTATTTGTTTACCACAACACTCTTAATCGTCGCACTTTCTTCACATACACCTGTTTCTTAGCATTACTTTTGTCACCTTCTATCAAAGTCATACATTTGTAAATTCAAAAATCTCTCTTCTTTTTTTTTGCTCGTTCCATAGTTCATTCTCCTGCTTCTCTAGATTTACTTTTATTTGATCCATTTCTTGTTTGGAAAGTGAATGGAATACGTACCGAAGAAAACCAGCTTACAGCAAGACAACATGTGGTTTTCTACATTACGTTGCCGTTTTGATAAAGTTCAACTTTGATGATGTATTCCTCAAACCTTGAACTACATAATTAACGCCTAATCTATCGAACTCGCGGACCATGCGATCCTGCTTACCGCAATCACTTCTATTATGCACATTCTATAGGTTATTTCCCCGTTAAAGGTCATAGTACCAAAAATCGCCATCTGTCAGCAAGGGAAATTATGGGAGAGCTTTTTATCTCCAGCTTTAGTGAGAAGTGAAATTTGGATAGTAGACCTCACCGAAAACCGAGGAAAATAACTTAGTGGGAGCTAATAATCGCCGTCTTTCTTCAAGGAAAGAAGGTGACAATCCATTCTTCCTTGAGTGTCTCAGTTAAGAGTTCGTGAATTCATGGATTACCAGGATATGCATTTTTGTCCCGATACAAAGCCTTAGCGGATAAGAGGATAGATCCACCCTAGCGAAAACACTACAGTAGCACGCTTTTGTTCACATTATTCTATCTGTTTGCATAACCTCCGATTTCGTGCTCTATATTGCCTGAGAACATCTATGATCCTTTCTATTTGCACATTTTTCATGCAGAACGTGAAAATGAGAACCAAGGTCTTCTTTTTGAATTCTGTGAATGTCTTGAAGCTTGTTTCTTTGTTATCTTCTGCTTTTTTCTTTCTTTTTTTCTTAAAATTCGGGTAATTTTCTGTTATACGCTTAATGCATGAAGGCTCACAATTACCTACCTTCAGTTAAAGGCAGTACATAAAAATGGGGAGCCTCAGGGCTTCCACGGTCTCCCTTATTTCCTTATTTCTAATTTTACCGGAGTTAGTTAGAGGTATAATTTTCCATTTCAATGTAATTATACATTCAGTTTTAAATTATACTTTCAAAGGTCTCTGCACTCGAAGCTTCTTCGCTCAGCCAGTAATCTATGACAAAGCCATGGGTATTGATTTTTATTTTACTGGGTAAGTAGGTTTACCATAAAGAAACTAAGACGAAAAGTCGGTAGCCCAGTTTTAACGGTATTGCACAACTCCAAATTCAAACTTGAACTGTGTGCTATTTTTTAAAGTTATTCTTGTGTAAGTACTGTAATTTTTGAAGCTTTTAAAAATTTGTCACTAAATATGTAGAGCAATTGACCAACGTAACAAGCAATAAATTCAGATTGATGATAAAATAAACAAAAATAACTGATATTAGGGGTGTAATTGAAGTGATTCTGTGAAGAGGGTTCTTGCACAAGGAGAATTTGAGAAGTGCAGTAATCTACTGACCAAACTGCACTACGTAGGGCAGTTTATGGTGAATAATCAGCCAGAAATCTTGAATTGTTATAAATGCTGTGCAATAGCACACATTTTAACTTAAGGAATTTGATTTCAGAATAAATGTAGCATCGGTGAGTGCATGTGCGGAGTTTTGTGGTGAGAGAAGGTTCTGCCGAACAGCGATCTTTAATTCATACACAAGGACTTGCGCCATCTCATATGAGTACACTCTCAACTGCAGGTACAAAATGTAACAGTTATATTGATTTAAGCTACCAAAAAACAGCACATTTCTAGGTATAACAAGAATCGCTACACAGATTTTGATGTACGACATACGACAAGCCATTTAATACAAGTGGCATGTGTATCCAAATGTGATACTCATAGTAAGTTTTTAGGGTAGACAGTTAATTGAGGTTACCAGGGTTGAACTCAATGCAAGCGGCGATCATTTCGTGATCAGGCAACCTCAATCTTAGATGACGCATCATTGATCACGCCGGAGTATGCATGCTTGAGTCGTTTTATTGCTTTTGATATATTTTAAACGAGGTTGCCGCACCTAGTGCTGTGATGTAGTGCATTAGAAAAGTAGTAAAAAGTGATTAGTAAAAAGTAAAAAGTGATTTCTGGTCCCATACCATACTGCATTGTTTTCTTTCTTTTACAGCTCATCATACTGAAAGCTCAGAAAGTTAATTTTCCTAATTAAAAAGTCGTAAATACCAACCCTATTCCATGTTTTCTTTGGCATAAGTATTTGGAATATGTCACTGTTGTTGTCAAATCAGGTTTTTTTTGTCATATCTACAGACTTTGGTCCAATAATGGTTAAGTAATGCATCCAATTTATCAAATATTAATAGTCAACTACTAATTAGCGATTAAATTTAGTCTACGAATTTTAGAGATTGTGGAACATCTGAGAGTCTAAAACTTCTCTAGTAAGACAGTGGAACACAGTTTCTTTTCAAAAACACAATATAACTTTACTCATTTAAGACTTCGAAGCAAGCAATTCACCTCCGCAATCTATTAAAAAACGAATATTGAAAGATAACTCTTTCACTTAAAATTGGCATTAATTTCTTGTTTTGCTATCTCCCAAAGTGGCTCCACTACCATTTAGTTGATTAAAACAGCTGCTGTCAATATTTCCATGTCAGTCAATGTATCTTTTTTTAACAAATTTTCTTCCTCTCATTAAATCCACTTTAACTGCCATCAAAAATTGCACTTCTCATGCACCTCCAAAGTTTTCTAAACAACCACTAGTCAATGGAACATTAGGAAAAGAGCTTCATTTTGTTTCCATATTTTCTAAGAGCGAACTTTGCTTCATAGCTGGCTCAGTGCGTTCGTTCTAATTGAGAGGTATTACATTTGCATGTCACCTTTTTTGTATTGTATTATTGTCGGGCATCACTTAGAGAAAAATGAGTAAGAACAAATTACTGGATAACATGCTAACGCAATGTAAGAAACGTTTGCATTTTTCGAAAACATATTCTCACATGTAATCCCAAGAAAATATATGCATAAGTTTACCTCTTAGAGATTCTACATCCATTTTTAATTTTCACATCTTCCTTTCAAACTTTTAGCT